AGTGTACCTCAACACAATAAAGGCCACATATGACAAACCCATGGCTCACATCATGCTCAATGGTGAAAAATTCAAAGCTTAACCATGAAATAAAAGAGCTGTGCTTTATAAAATATCAACGTGAGCCACCAGGTGGCATGGTGGTTAAGACACTGGATCCCATATGGTCACTTGTACAGTCTGAGTCCTAGACCCAGTGGCTTGAAAAACACATGGGCACGCGTGTATGTGTACCAAAACTCTAGGGGAGAATGAAGGAGAAGGGATTGAGGTATGGCCATCCCCCCTGGGGGTGATTTCTCACTTTCTCTCTCTTTCTCTCTGTCCGTTTCTCTCTGGGTGAACACATGTAACCTATGGCAAAAATCTAATAAAATAAAATACCGATGATAAAAATTTAAAAATACACAAATTGAAAGACACCCTGTGTTTATGAATTGTAAGACTATTGTTAATATGATCATACTTCCCAAAGCAATTTATAGATTCAGTGAAATCCCTGTCAAAATTCCAGTGAGAGTTTTATAGAAATAGAAGGAAAAAGGTCCTAAAATTTATATGGAACTGCAAAATACCTTGGATAGCCAAAGAAATTGAGAGTCAAAAGACAAAGCAGGAGACATCATACTAGCTGACTTTGAAATCTCCTGCAGGGCCAGCTTCATGGTGCAGCAGTTAGATGCTATGCAGAGGAATCCTGGGAGGTTTGAATCCTAGCCCCATCAGTTTCACACTGGGCTTAGGGTGTCTGTCTGGGATCCTGACAGATTGGAGAACTGAAGGAAAAAGGCGTGACCAGGCCTCTTTGGAGAGTGCTTTTTTCTCTTAAGCCTTATAAAAGCAGGAAATCTTGCTGTTTGTGACAGCATTGGGTAAACCCAGACATAATGCCAAGTGAAATCACCTTGGCATGGGAATACCAGCATGACGCTGTGAGCCAAGCATAATGCATATGCATACTCATGTATATGGTCTCGCGTATATGTGGGATCTAAACAAGTTGAACTCTTGGAAGGACAGAGTAGAATAATGGTTACCAAAGACTGGGGGATGATAGAGGGGTTGAGGTTGGGGAGATGTAGGTCAAAGAAGACAAAATTTTGGGTAAATAGGAATAAGGTCAGGATACCCGTTGTACAATGGAGTGACAATATTTAATGGATTGTATTTTGAAAATCACTATGAAGTGCATGTTACGTGTCCTCACCACAGAAAATGGTAACTCAGTGAAGCAATGCTTATGTTGGTTGGTCCAGTGGCGCATCCCACAATATTTACATATTTCAAAGCATCATGTGGTAAACCATAACTATATGCAATCTTTTGACAATTAAAAAATATAGTAAAAGATGTTGACAATAAGTCAAAGTAAAATGGAAAAAGAATTAGACACCATACTTAAGACCTCCAGTGTCTACACATCAGCTTTTCCCAAACAAATGTCCTATGAGAAACTGCTTTTCAGGACATTCATAAGCAGGTGCACTTCTGGTATTTGTAAGACCCAGGTCAAGTGTGTAAATTGAGGCTTTGTATTATATGAAAATATTTAAAAATTCTAAGTAAAGCTCATATACTGTTAAATAAAATGTGTTCAGCCCATTTGTTGTCTACTTTGACAAACATACCTTAGAAATGATAAGACTGAAAAATGTCTAGGGACCAGCAAAGGGTGTATGGTTATGTCACTGGATTCCACATAGTCGACTGCGATTCAAGTCCTGGGCCCGGTGACTTGAAACCCACACCAGATGCAGGTGCGTGCATGCCCCAGATCCTGAGAGGAGAATGGAGGAGAAGGGATTGCAGTGTGTCTATCCCCCTGGAGGGTGGTTTCTTGCTTTCTTCCTCTCTGTCTCACTGGCGAGTGCATGCGACCTATAGCAAAAAAATCTCTCTTAAAAAAATTTTTTTAAAAAAGGAAAGAAAAATGTCTAAGCAGCTATGCTGTTTACGTGATTAAAATATGGCAAAGATTGGGTCAACAAGTGGCATGGTGGTTGGGCACTGGACTCCCACATGGTCATCTATGGTTCAAGTCCCAGGGCTGGTGGCTTGCTTTCTCACTTTCTCTTTCTCTCTCTCTGTCTCTCTCTCTGGTGAGTGAGCATGCCCTATAGCAAATTTTAAATAATAATAATATATAATTAAATAAATAATTATTTTTTAAAAGATGTAAAAAACCAAAGATGTTGAGTTTAATTTTTATTGTGCATGTCTGGCTCTTCTGTAATAAAGGTGTACATGGTTTTTTCAAAGTATGGTGGTATGGTGATTAAGGCACAGGGCTGACCATAGTTTGAGCTCTGGATCTGGTGGCTTGAAAATGACACTGGCATGTGAGTATGTGCCCCAAATCCTAAGAGAATGAAAAAGAAGGGATTGCATCATGGCTAATTTCCCTGGTGGTGGGGGTGGTGGTGAATTCTCACTTTTTCCCTCTCTCCCTCTCTGTATAGCAAGTGCATATGCCCTATGACAAAAACCTAAAAAAAAAAAGTTGTGAACGTGTATACACACACACATACATATTGTGTATGTATGCATTTTGCTTGTAATATACACAGAATATTTCTGGAAATGTCAACAATAAATTGATAAGTAGGTGCTGCTAGGCATGGAAACGGGACTGGAAGGTCACACTGTGGGGGAAAGACACTTATTTTCCTTTGTTAAATCATTCCGTAGTTTGAAATTTTTATGATATACACATAGTAAGTTTTAGATGATAAGTTCTAATTTATAACCTAGTTAATGTATGAGGTGATTTCAAAAAGTTCATGGGAGGGCCAGTAGATGGTGGAGTGGTTACTGTGCTGGACTTGCACATGGCCAACCATGATTCGAGTCCCGGACCTGGTGGCTTGAAAACCACACTGGGTGGGTGTGCATGTGTGCCCTAAACCCCAGGAGAATAGAGGAGAAGGGATTGTGGTGTGGCCATCCCTCCGGGAGTGATTTCTCACTTTTCCTCTCACTGTCTCTCTGTTTCTCTCTGTTGCATGCATACACCCTATGGCAAAGAAAACACAAAAACCTTGAAAGAAAAAGTTCATGGGAAATGAAATTTAAAGTATGGGTTTATTTTGGTGCAAAAAAAGTTGAAACTATGTTTTTTTAAAAGATAATATGTGCTTTCTGTGAACTTTTGAAGAACACTCAGAAAGCTTTTCTTTTTTCTTAAGTACTAGAATTTGGGCAGCACTATGAGGTAAGAAACACTTGGATCCACAGGGCTCATAAATCGCAGGGCTGAGGTATGTCTGAGGCTATCTGACTTTAAGGCCAAGGCTCTCTGTTATTGTATATCAATATTTTTTGGATAAATCAATCTGGTAATGTTTCCAAAAGATGACATAATCATTAACTTTTGTATTTTTTTTTTTTTTTACAGATTGGGATTATTTTAAGATGGTGAATGGATCATCCCAAGGAATTCCAGTAGTCTGTAATTATCCCAAGGTGTGTAGCTCTCATGGGCCTGTCAATGTGTAATTCATGAGGAAAGAGATTTATTTTCCTTAAACTCTCACTGATTTAAAATTATTTTCTGTAATAATAATCAAATGAAAGAACTCTATTCTCTTTGGTGTCTTCTAGCTGTTCTACTTCAAGAGAAAATTTTCTTTTGTCTCATTTCAACATTCTGTTGAATGTTGAGGATATGCCAACTTGCCACAGCAACTGGAAAGAAATATTACTGAGCATTTCTTAAGTAGTTTTGCTTTGTTATTAATAGGACATTGGACTCACCAACTAGCATTGCCCCATGACCCATCATTTCACCTCCTACATATATGCCCAACAGAGGTGCCTAACCATGCCAATAGGCATGACAAGACTGTTCATAGAACCGTTCCTGGTAGACTCCCAGGCTGGAAACCCAAATGTCCCTCTCCACTGAAATAGAAAAATAAACTTTGATCTGTCCATACATTGTCATGTCAACCCCCCTGTAAGCTTGAGACCTAAGTATATTCACACAGCACCCACAGAGGGTGCAGTTGAAGGGCAATCTGCCCATCCTGTGTGTTGACAAGCATCAGTTAGTTGAATGGATTTCTCCTCATTTAAAAATTGTTGCATAGGAAAAAACAGTAAATGAACAAAAGCATCACCAAAATCAATTTAGAGCCCATGTAAAGAATTTAAAAGGAAAAATGTATGTTACTCTGAAAACAGAATGAGAGCCCAACTTAGAAATTATCTTACAGTAAGAAAGAAGAAAAGTTTCAGAAATGGCTTGATGTTTTTAATGCGCGGCAAAAAGAAAAGGCTTCTTAGAAACTTAAATAGGGAGTAATAACACACAAGGCCAAAACACAGACAGATGCAAGCTGAGAAGAAAAGAAGACCGGCTGAGATTTTAAAAAGGCAAAAAGATGAAAAATCCAGTGACAATTTATGTTCCATTGAATGCAGTTAAAAGAACAGATACATCACAGCAGAGAATAAAGTTGGTGATGTTGGTTAACGTTTGTGAAGTCATCATATCTGATGGGAAGGAAGGGGCAAAGAGATGACAGCGATAAAGAGGTTAACCCTGGGCCCCAAATCCCACAACAATAGGAATTCTTTTCTTCTTTTTCATCCCCCCCCCTCATAGGGCACATAATCTCACTAGAGAGACAGAGAGAGAGTAAGAAATCAACCTCCAGGGAGGATGGCCATGTCACAATCCCTTCTCCACTCTCCTCTTGGTATTTTGGATTTTGGGCACCCATGCACGTGTACCTGGTATGATTTTCAAGCCATTGGGTCTGAGACTTGAACTGCAGTTGGCCTCATGGGAGTCTAACACCGTAACCACCACTCCATCTATTGGCCCCATAATAGGAATTCTTGAAGAAGTAGCAAGAACAAATAAGTATGAACAATAATCTAAATCATAATTTAAAAAAAATTCTGAGCTGCAAAAAATAATACCTGCTCATACAAACCTGAAAGGGCTTACCTTGTTCCAAGAAAGCTAGGCTGGAGACTTTTTCCCCCGAGGACAAATAGAAAAGAGTGCACCAGTAAGAAAGCAATGACAATTTTTTTTCCCCTTAATAAATGCAAACCTGAACTAAGTAAGGTTTATATATATATTTTTTATTGTTTTGCCATAGGGCATGTGTGTTTGCCAGAGAGAGAGAAGTGAAAAATTACCCCCTCAGGAGATGGCCATGCTGCAATCCCTTCTTCTCCATTCTCCTTTAGGAATTATGGCCGTGTAAGCACATGCGCCTGGTGTGATCTTCAAGCTGCCAGGTTTAGGATTTGAACTGTGGTTGACCATGTGGGAATCCAATGCCTTAATCGCCAGGCTGCCTGCTGGCCCTGTCATTCACTTCTGAAATAAAACATCGGGAACACAAAATGAGAAGTGGCAAGTTAGGGCTGATGGGATGGAAAGTGGGAGGGAGGATGTTAAAAGGTTTGAGGCAGCGGGCCCAGCAGGTTCTCTGATGGTTACGGCACTAGATTCCCACATGCCTGACCATTGTTCAACAGCAAGTAGTAAGCACCCAATAAACACCGATTAGATTTTTTTACTGTCACTACAGGATACACAGAAAAGAGAGTTGGGTGGAACACTTTTTTCTGCTTTAAACAAAAAATAACCACACGTAGCATTATGTAAAAAGTGGCCCAGTCAGTCTCTAATCAATCAGAACAGCTTCTCCATCTGCCTGGGGAAGAGTAAGAGACAGTATGGCTCTGCTGTCATCAACCCCTCCCACGCCCTACTGTGGAAAAGGGAAATGAGGGAGTGCCCCCTGTTCCGCAGACACTTGAGACACTGACAATAAGGGCTACTTGCTACCAGATATTCAGAGCAGTAAGTTTTGTGTAGAAGAATTCCCAAGAACACTAACAAGATCAGTTAAAGTAGCATCTTTTATTGTTGGTGTACAATTTGAGGAAGTTAGAAGCCAGGGCTACAATGATTCTTAGCTGTGGATGCATGCTAAAATGACCTGAGTATTAAAAAAAAAAAAATTCTTAGGCTTCACCCCAAACCATTTAGAATCTTCAGGCTCAGCCTCAGTGGCACAGTTGGAAGCATAATGAAGTGCAGTGCTGGAAGCCACATGGCCAACCCTGAGTTTGGATCCCCAGTTGGCCTGAAAAACACATGGGTGCTCACCATCCTCGTGAGCTGGAGGGCTGGGGGAATGGAACTGCAGTGTGATATCACCCTGTCGAGGGTGCTTATTTCTCTTTCTCTCTCTCCTGCATACACTCTAAGTGAGTAAAATAAAGAAACAAACAAGCAAACAAAAAGATAGGATCTTCAGAAGTGGAGCTCAAGCAAGGGTATTTGTAAAAAACTTCCCAAGTGATTTAATGTGTATTCAAAGTCTAGAATAGTTGAGAGTTCTTTCTCAAGGAAATTGTCCTTTCCCAAGCATTTACCATTCAGAAACTTACCATGGAAGACATGTGTTCAGTTCATGCTTCTGTGATCTTTTCTTTTTAAAGCCTAAAGGATTTCAAAGGAAAAATGTGTGGGCGGAAACACCGGCATGAGGCACAGTCATAGCACCGTGTACCTCCCTGCCACAGCACAAGTCGCACTTGATTGTAATTGCCAGTAATCACGCGCTCACTGACTGGCTTGTGAGGGCAGGGCAGGAGCTTTGCCTCCTGAATTCACTTGTTTTCATCCCTGGTGCCTAGCACAGTCTCTGGCACACGCTCATCCCTCAGTGAGTATTCATCAAATGAAATTCCACATTATGTTCATAAAAGCAAACGCTTGTGTGGTTTTAGAGAACTTTTATGATGGCTTCTCATTTTATGGTATAAAACGAGTTTCAAAAACAAGATTCTAATTTATGGCATTCATTTCTAATAAAGAAACTTTTGTGATCCAACTTGTGAATGTTATCAGGGGACCAGGTAAATCGTACAGGAAGGAGAGGCCTCCCGTATGACCTTCTAAGAGGAGTTCATCCCATTTATCCTTGTACAGACAGCTTCAACAACTTAAGAAACCTTCAACAGAGGTTTTAGAAAAGATACAGAAATGTTCTCACTGTTTATTTTATTTTTCAAAATAAAGCTTAAAGACGTTATATTAAATCAGAACAACAAAATATACATTTAAAAACTATAAATCCAGATTTTTAAATCAGAACAACAAAATATACATTTAAAAAATATAAATTCAGCTTTAAATTATGACAGAAGGAAGAGATCAGCAAATCTTTTTCACTACCAAAAGTATACAAGTGGACAAAATTGACAATAATACTTATTTCGGTAAGTGAGAGAGCTACCAGAGATGGACAAGGAGTTGAGAGCTCCCTAGAGATCCAGGGAAGAACAGCAGAAGTCTGGTCCTTTCTCCCCAGCTCCCACCCAGCTCAGGCGGCGTAATTCCCACGTTGGGTTGCCCAAAACGCCAGCAGCTTTGCTGCCAGAGAAGGGAGATTTGGTTTAGGTTAGGGGGGTATTGTAAAGCCTGGTAACTTCACACACTAAAAGTAGCAAACTTGGTTATTTTATTTATTTACATTCATTCATTGTACATTAATAAAGTATACAAAATAAGATTTTCCATCCAGGAAACATTGTATATTGGCTCAATCAAGGATATTACCATATATATTATCATCAACAAATAATTTTCTATTTCTTGTTTCTTACATATTTTGCTCCCCCACCCTTTGATTCCCTTCCACTCGCCCTCTGCCAATTACTCCTCTTCTCCCACACTGTCTCGGGTATCCACAGTTGTTTTTCCATGCCTTTTCCCCCCACATTTCATTGATTCACTAAATATCTTAATTAATTTAAAAACTTTCAATAGTAAGAACAGCTAATATGCATAGCTGTAAACACATGTCTGACTTTAGGCGTAAACCTCAGTGAGTAAAGTGAACATTCTATGAAGTAGCACTTAGCTGAGGCTGTATAGCTTATTGCAGTCTTTAAATAGGTACTAATAGGTATTTTTAATGCATTTTTTAATTTCAAGAAAAACAGTTTTAGTGTTTTTTTAAAGAATTGTTTCTAATTTTATTTATTTATTTTAATTTGACCAGAGAGGGACAGAGAGAGAGAGAGAAAGAGAGGGAAAGTGAGAGAGGGAAAGTGAGAAAGCAAACCACCAGGTCCAGGACTCGAACTGTGGTCGGCCAGGTGTGAATTCAGCATCCTTAACTACTACACGACCCAACAGTTTTAACTTTAATAGATCAAAATTAAAAATGTTCAGAGAAATTTTCTTAAAACCAGAAAAAAAGGTTAGGATTCAGTTCAAATAGTAGGTAGATGAACTTATCAACAGTTCAAGAGAAGACAAAAATCCTTAAATATGGAAATCAAAGCATAGGAGAAAATCAGTAATGTTTTGGAGAAAAGTCATAGAATCTATTTCACCGGTTCAGTCTCATGTCATCTCACTGTTGTTGAATTTGCAGTGTTACTGTGGTCTGATCTTTTCGTTAAAATCCTTGATGTCAACATTCAACATTATTATTGATATTTCCAAACTTGTCTTTACCATTAAGCTGACCATTTTCTTGGTCATTTCTTCATTCTGTTATTTCTATATGTCTGTCTATAGTTTTCTTGGTATAGCACTCCCTTCATAACTTCTCAAAGAGCTGGTCTGGTGTTGGTAAATTCTTCCAGGTTTTGTTTATCTGAGAATGTTTTTGTCTTTTTTTCCTCATGTGAAAGATAATCTTGCTGTGTATAGTATTTCTGGTTGAAATTGGTTTTCACTTATCACGTTGACTGTAATTTCCCATTCTTTCATTTCATGGAATAGATTATTGATGCCCTTATTAGTTTCTTCACCTTCTGGGATGCTAATGATTCAGATGTTTGGGCATATAATGGTATCTAGTATTATTAGATGTTATTCTCATTTTGGGGAGGTTCTTTTCTCAGTCTTTTTGGTGAATTTTTCTAGGTCAGGGGTTCTATCATCTACATCTGAGATTCGCTCTTCTGCATGATTTTATCTACTTTTTATACTTTCAAGGGAGGTTTTGATTTCCTGTATTACAGTCTTCATCTCTAACAGTTCCATTTGATTCTTTATTATGATGTGAATCTCCTCTTTCAGATCGTGCAAGAACTTCCTCACCTCCTGGAACTCAGTGTCTCTTTTTTCCTGCATTTTCTGTAGTTCGTTGTCTCTCTTCTCTTGTATCTCTGTTAGCTTTGTCACTGTAAATATTTTAAATTATTTATCTGACATTTTCACGAGTTCCCTTGTATTGTCTGTGGAGGAAGAAGAGTTATTCTTTTCCCTTAAAGGAGAGATATTTTCTTGATTTCTCATATTTCTTGTGCCTCTGCACTGGTTTCTGGTCATCTGATAAATTATACTTTTTCCTTGTTTTTGAAGTTAAATCTGAGGATTCAGAGGCATGAAGAAGGAGGTGATCTGCA